AGATTTTACCCTAGCTTTACCCCAAGGTGGGGCTTCCCTGGTAGCTCAGATGGTAAAAGCGTCTGCCTACAATGCGGGAGACCTGGGCTTGATCCCTGGGTTGGGAAGATCCCCTGGAGAAGGAAATGGCAACCCACTCTAGTACTCTTGCCTGGAAAATTCCATGGACCGAGGAGCTGGTAGGCTACAGTCCATGGGGTTGCAAAGAGTCAGACACGACTGAGCAACTTCACTTCACTTCACTTACCCCAAGGTGGCTTCTGGCAGCTCGTGGAGCTGTGTGCTTCCCAGATCAGGTCTAGGTGGGGTTAGGGGGGAGCGGGATTGGGAGCTACTCTGTTCAGTAGCTCCAAACAGAGAAGAATAAAGACTTGCCTTCCCAGAAGTCCTGGCTAATGACTTCTTACTTCCCACTGGTTGTTCTCACCTCCCCTGCATGAACGACTGTGAAGAGGGAGATGGGATAGTGACTGGTTAAAGCCAACTGGGCTCCATCCGTGGAGCTAGGGTGGGGTCTGGACTTCCTAAACCAGGAAGATTGAGGTTGGAAACTTAGGACATTATCAGGAGGGTTAACAGAACAGTTGCTTAACCAAATAGGGATTTATTTTCTTGCACACCTAGAAGCCTGGAGGTTGATGTTGGTTTGGCGATGCCCTCGGGGACCCATATTCTCTTGGTCTTCCTGACCCATCAACCTTAGAGCATTGGTTTGCATTCTCATACTTGTCACTTCATGATCCCAAGAGAGTGGCTGCAGCTCCAGTTTATGCACCTGCATTCAAGGCAGGGAGAAAGGAGGAAGAGCCCAGATGCTACCAACCTGATCTGTTTCCTTTAGTCAAGGAAGCAAAATGTTTTCTCTAGAATTCCCCACAGCGGACTTCTGCTTAGGTTCTGTTTTTGTTTTGACTTTTCAAAACCTGCTTCTTAAGGAAACACACAGATAGAACGGAAACACAATTTTGTATTTTCCGTATTCAAAGTGGACCTTATCAGTCTTCTCATTAAGCTCCTTTCCATTGATTGATTAGGATTTGCTGTTAATTGATTAGGATTGATTGATTAGGATCAGTTTGAGGATTCGCACAAGAAAAGACAATTCACAAAGCTAGCATCCTTGCCTTCTGTCCTCACAGAGGTATATTCAGCTCTTTTGTGAGACATTCTGGAAGATGGAGGAATTTTACCTTAAAACTGACCAAGCCTTCACTGTGTAAGACACTTGCATCATTGAGGATTCAAGCTGTGATTTGAATTCTGTGACATTTTTATAAAGGTAAAATGTTACCACTACTTTAATTACTGTTATAAATAGCTTTATAATATGGAAGACTCATTGCTTAACTCTAAGACTTGGGAATTTTCATTTTTTAAAAGGATATATAAGGCTACCCTTTTATAATAATTTTTATTTCATTCGTTCGGTTCCAATTTGGCCTTGCCATGGGCGCTTGCCATCCAGCTCTACAAGAATTAAATCATGTGCTGCTACAGCTGCTGATTTTCAACAACCCCTGAAAGGAGTTCAAAGTGGAGAGGAGAAATGAGGCACTCTCTGTTGGGCTGATGGAGGGTCTTCAGGGAGTTAGGTATGTTCAGAAGCTGATTTTATGAGCCTAAATCTTGTACCTCCTCATATCTAGAAAAGCACTAAAATCCTTCATGATGATGACTGCTCCTCATGACCAGCAGAAAGCTTCTGCAAAATATATGTGCTGTGATTGCACTGTGCATGTATTCCCCCTTTACCCAAATCACATATATACTAACCCTCCCCTGCCTCTCTGGAGCAGTTCCTCAGAGCTTACTGAAGTGCTGTCTGCAGGCTGCAGCCCTCATTTTGCCCCCCAATAAAATGTGACTCGCAACTCTCACATTGTGCAATATTTCAAGTCGACATAGAGCAAGATTAATCACCTAATAAGTGGCATAACATGGAAGTTTTATAGGAGCCCAGAGAATGACTGACTCATTGCAGGCTGGAGAGGGTTGGGAAGGCTTTGTGGGGAAGTAGGGAACTGAGCTGGAGTAGAAGGTGGGTAGGATTCAGGCAGGCACCGGGGTATGTGTGCATGCTCAGTTGCTTAGTTGTATCTGACTCTGCGACCTTTTGGACTGTAGCCTTAGAGGTTCCCCTGTCTATGGGATTTCCCAGGCAAGAATACTGGAGTGGGTAGCTATTATCCTTCGCCAGGGGATCTTCCTGACCCAGGGACCGAACTCTCATCTTCTGCACTGGCAGGTGGATTCTTAACTGCTGAGCCATCAGGAAGCCCAGGCATGGGGCAGAGAGGTCAAATCACAGGGCAGAGGCAGGGCTTGTAAGTCAGTTGCAATCAATCACAGAAGGGAAAGAACCTGGAGCAACCTATGGAGCTTCATGGAGGACAGGATAGGAAAAGTAACATAATTACCAATGAACATGGGTAAATTGTATGCTTTCTATGTCTAGCAGAAATTAAAAAAATCACCTTTTAAAAATTATGTTGCCAGGGAATTCTCTGGCAGTCCAGTGGTTGGGACTTGGTGCTTTCACTGCCAATGTCACATGTTCCATCACTGGTGGGGGAACTAAGATCCTACAAGCTGTGCGGTGCTGCCAAAAAAATTAAAATAAATAAATAAATATGTATGCTGCAATATAGTACTTATTGCTCCCAAACAAGTGTTGCAAGTATAAATACTTTCAGGAACCAGGGGAAACAAAAGTGACTCAGACCAAGCTTTAGACAGTAGGGAGTGGTGGCGAGGATTGCAGCAAACTTGGGAGGATTTGCTTTCTCTCAAAGGGGGGGGTGGGGGTCACTCCTCAGCCCCAACCAGCTGTGGTCCCCAGTGACCACATGATCTTACATCCAATGGGCCCTTCCACGCCTCATCCATCTGACCTCCTGGACAGCTTTGGTCCAGCCAACCACTGCTCCTTAAATGACTCTTCTCTTGTTTCTATGATGCCACAATTTCTGATTTCCTTCTACTTCTCTGGCCATTTCTTACTTACATCTTACATATGTCTCTACTGGCTTGACTGTTCCTTCTCGGTTCAACCTCTGCATGGAAATGTCAAGCCTCTTTCCCTCTGACTCTGCACTCACTCTTTCCTTAGACCATCCCATCTCCCTAGAGGCCAGTGACTTCCAAGTTTCTATTTCTCCTTCATCCTCCACAGCCAGCTCATCCCAGGCCCTGTGGCTTCTGCTTTACAGACGTATCTCACATATGTGCCTCTTTCTCCATCTCCACTGCCACCCCTCTAATCCAGGATGTTTCCAATGCCTGGACCACTGCTGTAGATGCCAGTCTGTTCAGGTGACTGTTGGACTGGGCTGGGGAAAGACGTGTTGGTGAGAGGTGCCCCCACCCCCATGATAACCTCTCTGTCCCCTTTTCCCTCTCCAGCCATAAGTTCACCACTCCCCAGTCCTCTCCCCTCGGTTCTGTTTACATCACCACCCACTCACATTCCTGTCTCAGCCCACTTTGCTTCAACTTTAGTTTTCAATATGGCGTTGAGAGTCTCTGGGGCTTTCAGCATGTCATTTACCTGCGCACTCACCCACCTGTAGCCTTGGTCACCTGCATTTCCTGCGAGAGGCCATCTCACCTATTTCCTCTCCTAGATTCCTCCTTGGAGGAGGAGGGGGGAGGGAAGACAGACCCAGGGAAGACTTCCACAGGCAAACCAGATACAGGAAAACCTTTTGCAGAGCGAGTGGGCAGGGGTTGCCTTAAGACTCCCATAAGAGTTGCTTTTCTTTCGTTGGGTGTACATCTCAAGTAGATTTGGAGCTTACCTGTGACAGCTAAAGACCCCACTGTTAGAGGGTAAGGAAAACTAACTATCCCCACCCCTTACCACCCCAACTCCCCATGCGCTGGGTGGAATGGAATGCAAGAGGAAAATACTAATACTAATGATTAGAAAAAGCTCCCCAGGACCCAAAGAAGCTGCCCAGAAGTTTGCTAAACAGGCTACCTGCTGCAACTCCGCAGTGAAAAATAAGGACCAAGAAGAGGCTCTGCTGATGCACCTGCTTTAAGGATGTGTCTGGATGAATCAGGAGTCACAGATTGCTCCCACTGTCTCATCCACATCTTCATGCAGGACGCCTGGCTCCGGGCTCCTCTCTTGAAGAAGCTGAGACGCAGCATCCTTGGCTGCCGCCCAGCGGCCCCATCTGTAATCTTCCTGCTCAACGTGGCTCACGATCTTCGCAGCTGCAGCAAGAGGCAGGCTCAGGTTCAGGCTGCCCCAAGAAGCCAGCCCTGCAACTTGTGACTCAGAGGAGGAGGTGGTGGGTGGGACTCGTTACAGCCGGCAATGGTAACAACCAAGTGCTTTTGAGCAGAAGATGGGAAGCTCAGTCCGAGGACAAGCCTGGCAGCGAAATTTCCGTTTAATGAATTCACAGTAATTCCATTTGTGTCATCTTCCCTGTGGGTTTAGACAAGCAGATCCCCTTTTTCTTGCTTCCTACAATGCAGCCTGAACTAAGGTCTGGATTCTACAGCCAAGAGACCCCTCCTTCCCTATTTGGCCACCCACCCTCACCGCTTCCCCCGCAACCCCCAGGCCCAAGCAATTATACAGGAGCATACAGAGAGATGTGGGTGGAGATTTTCCTTTATTTGTGTTGTTTTTTTTTTTTAACTTCAGAGAGAAAGGGCTGGAGCAAAAAGCTGATGTCCAAAGCTCCAGGCCTCAGAATGAACCCTGAATGTGCAGGACCCTGATGGGTGTCACTCTGGATCTGGTGACTGACAAATGCACGCCATGGAGACAATATCCTCACAGCTGCAAAGCCCCCTTGCCCCTCCCCATTTTTCTTAATTTCAAAGCCCCCACCTGCACCCACCCAAAATAGCCTTGTCATTCCCTGGTAGTGGATCTCCTAGAAAATTGGGCTTTTACCCCTGTGGGCTCACAGCCCCATCCCCACCCCCAAAGAAACATGCATTGCCTAGATATAAAAGGAAATTGACACAGGATGCTCGAATCCAGAGAGCCCGCATGCTTTATTCTTCATCATCCTCCAGCTTGGGAGAAAGGCTGCCTTCCATCCTACCCATGAGAGAGAGGAAAGGGCGTTGAGGCTCTATCACCTCTCCCATCTCCCCAGGGCCCTGTGCCGTACCACTGCGCACACCCGAGCCCTGCCTGATCTTAAACAAATCTGGCCAGAAGCCTTCTACTTCTCCTCTTGGGAAAAAAGACATTTGGGAGCTAGCAGGTGTAGTGAACACTTAAACCAGTCTTCCTGCTCAGTGTCTGTTCAACCCGAAGGTCCATCCAGCTCTCGGAAGGAGATTCCTGGTGCTTGGAGCCCCCAAACCTGGCGCCAAGCCTCCCCAGTGGTCTGTGACCACCGCTCCCCACCCCGCCTGCCTACAACCTCCCAGAGCAGTCTTGGGTTGCTCTCAGCGTCTCTCCCATGGTCTCCTGTGGAGTCCTGACGCGGAGGTGCCCAGGGTGGCGGGGGAAGCGTCAGGCGCCCTTGCTTTCTGTCCTCTCCTCATCAGCTGTCTGGGCATTGCTGACGGCGCGGAGCTGCCCCTGGGCAGCAGGCTTCACCGACAGGACCAGGCGTTTCCGGAACGTTTCACAGAGCACGATGTACACAAAGGGATTGAGGCAGCTGTTGGCATAGCCCAAGCTGATGGCTGCGTTGTACAGATAGACAAAAGTGAGCGTCGGGCGGCTGAGGGATAGCTGGGTCAGCTGAAGCACGTAGTAGGGCGCCCAGCACACGAAGAAGACCAGGCAGATGGCGATGGCCGTGCGGGTCACCCTCTTTGTCCGCAGCCGGATGCTGCGTTGAGACGCGGGGGCCACGGAGGATGTCATGCGCTGCAGGATCCTCACATAGGCGGCCGTGATGACCACGAAGGGCAGGGCAAAGGCCAGGAAAAACTGGTACAGGGTGAACCAGTAGAGGTCAGTGTCTGGGTTGGGCAGGCGGATGCCGCAGCCCACGGTGCCCCCTGGGAAGGGGATCAGCCTGGCATAGAGCCACACGGGGGTGATACTGATGAAGGATAGGGCCCAGAGGAGGCAGATCACCAAGGTGGCCACAGAGGGCTTCCGGAACTTGGTGGAGGAGATGGGGTGGACGGTGGCCAGGTAGCGGTCAATGGCCATGGCGGTCAGGATGTAGGTGCTGGTGAACTGACTGTTGGCGTCCATGGCCGTGATGAGGGTGCACATGGTCTCGCCGAAGTGCCAGACCCCATTGCCCATGAGCTGGTGGATCATGAAGGGCATGCCCAGCAGGAAGAGGAGGTCCACCACCGAGAGGTTGATGATGAAGATGTCGGGGACATTGCTGAACCAGTGCAGCTTGGACTTCTTCACCACCGCGAAGATGACTGTGGAGTTTCCAACAATGCCCAGGAGGCAGATGGTACCGAACACTGAAGGCATGATGATGTTGATGTAGGAGATGCTCCCTGTGCGAGGAGGCAGCCCTGGGGACAGAAGGAGCAAGGGTCTACCATTTGACATGGACTCTGCTCTCCGAGGGCTGAACTCCTACTGGCATGCTCAGCCTCCAGCCACACACCTGCCCACCTCTCCATCCACCTGCCATATCAGCTCAGGGCCCATCTTCTGGAATCTTCCCTGCCATCCTCCCTGCCCACACGGCTGCTAAACCTAACCCCGTGCCCTCCTGCACCGGCTCCCTGCTCAATCCCACCAGAGTCTCCCACACCACCTGTTCATTAAAGGACCAGTCCCTTTGCCGCCTGCGTTTTCTCAAAAGGCACAGAGTCAAGAACCACAGCTGTCTGCAGAGAACGGTTCTGTGGGCCTTGGGGCTTCACCAGGAAACGTTATCGAAATAGCCAGCAGGACACGAACATGTGTGCACGTGTGGGCGCCAGCATGTGTTTCCTTGTTTCCTATTTGCAGCCCAGCTTATTTCATTTTAGGAGTCACTGGTTGGAAGCCGTGTGCTGATTCCTGGGGATCTCTGTGTGTGACTGTCTCATGGAGGCTTTTGGCCATCAGGCCCACAGCCCTCCTCTCTTCTGGGTCCCTATCTTCTGCGCCTGGGCTTTCAGAGTGACTAGACTGAAGCTGTGTGCTGCAGCCCAGCCACCCGAGAATTTTCTCCATGCAAACCTTTCCTCTGTTTTCTTCCTTCTCTTCCCCTTCGAAGCTAGAATTCCAGGGCATCTCAGTGCTAGAAATGTCAGGAAGCATCTTTCACCAGCAAAGTTAATCCCCTCGAATCTCTGGGAGTTATTCCTTCCCACGCCTCTTTGGGGAGGAGGCAGTAAGGATGTTTCAAACCCCACCAGATCACGTAGTTCAAGTGAAAAAACCAAGGGGATCGGTGAATGAGTGAGCTTCCAGCCATCTCCCTACATAACAGCCCTCCAGTTTCTCTTGCTTTTCTAGCCTGGAATTTTTCCGGCAAAGCATCTTTGGAACTCCTCAGCAGCCCTTCTCTGCCTCCCTCGCGGCTGGCCACCATGCGAGGACACTTCCTAGCATGCCTCTGCCCCTGCCCCTTCCTCCCCGTAGTCCCCTCCCCGGCCCCTCCGGGAGGGCAGACTGCCCATCTCATTCCCAAGAACTGGCATAAAGTTTCGCAAGCAGTTTAGCTCGGAGGTGAAACCTTCCCGTTTCCCACCCTCCGAGGCACAGAGGAGGGAAGACCGCCCTCCAGCTCGTCTCACCGGCCGCGGTGAGGTTATCCGGGCTCTCCGAGGTGTTGCTGGCATTGGGGCCGGTGGGCAGCAGCGAGGCTTCCAGGTCCATCCCGCCGCGCCGCGGGTGCCAGCTCGCCCGTCCGCCCACGCAGGCTGCCGCAGCCTCCCGCGCCAGTCCCGAGCCCGGGCCCCCGGAGCCCCGCAGTCCGGAAGAGGGGTCTTCCTCGGGCCGCCCGGCAGTCTCCGCCGCCTGCGATCCCCGCCGCTCTCCCCACCCTTCTTCCCCGGCTCCCACTGACATCACCTAGACACATTAACATTCGGAGGCAGATGCGCGTTAACCTCTTCGGTCCTGCGCCGCAGCTCCGGCTTCCAACTGCCTGCAGAACCCAGCCGGCAGGTCAGCCCCATCGGGGACCGGGCTTCCTTCACTCCTTCACTTGGGGCCGTGTCTCCTGTGCCACCAGGGGTGCTGCTGGCTGCCCGCGAGCCTCCAGTCTCTCCGGAGGCAATGGGCTGCCTCCCTGTGGAGGAGGAAGGGAGCCTGGCCCGGCCCCTCACCCCTGGTAGCCTGGACCTGGGCCGCGGGGCAGGGGCTGGGGTGGCCGTGCTGGGAGCTTGGGGAGGGAAGGCTTGGACCACTGGCATGCCCACCTCCAGGCCACCCACGGTCCCTTCCCAGCACCCCATGGATTCCAAGCTGTGGCCGTTTGGCTGGCACTCAGAGGTGACTCAGGTCACCCTGAGCTGGTGATGCCCAGGGACTTGGGACCAGAAGAGGACAAACTCCCTTCTTCCCTGGGATCAGCAGGGACCCGGCTTATAGAGGTTTTAGTTTTCTAAATGCTGTGAGGTCCTTGAGGGTTTACCTGGAACTCCTTGAAACAAATTTCAGAGCAGAGACCCCCAAAGAGATCCTTGTTCAATCACTTCATTCATGTCCAACTCTTTGCGACCCCATGGACTGTAGCCCACCAGGCTCTTCTATCCATGGGATGCTCCAGGCAAGAATATTGGAGTGGGTTTCCATGCTCTCCTCCAGCGGATCTTCCCCACCCAGGGATCGAACCTGAGTCTCCTGCAGCTCCTGCATTGCGGGCAGATTCTTTACCACTGAGCCACTTGGGAATCCCAAGAGACATCCTTAGGAACAGCCTAAGAGGGCAAAGCATTGGGTGAATTCTCTGCAGAGGCATCCTGCTGCCAGGTTCTCATTCGGCAGGTCAGGCCGGGAGGGGCCTGAGACTCTGCATTTCAGACAGGTTCCCAGGAGATGCCAAACCAGGTACAACACTTGGAAGAGCAGTTTGTGAAGGACTTTCATTTTCAAAGCTGCCGTAATGTTCAAATTCCTTTTTTTATTTTTTTATTTTTCAAATTCCTTTTTTTAAAAGCATGCTTTGCTTTGTGCTGGAAAATAATAACAGTTATCAAGATATTTTTAAAAGGCTCTCAAAACCACCTGCTTGAGACAGTTACTGACAAAGCAGAAGTTCAGAGTAGAAAGGGCAGTCTCTGGCTAGGCCACCAAGAGGAGGGCAAGGCCACCCAGCCATCAGCTCACCTCCTCCCAGATGAAACTCTTGGCTCTGGTGCAAAACAAAGAAGAAACAATATTTAAGTAAACATTGTGTGCATGTCGATGCTCAATTATGTCCGACTCTTTTGCGACCCCATGGACTGTAGCCCACCAGGCTCCTCTGTCCATGGGATACTCCAGGCAAGAATACTGGAGTGAGTTGCCATTTCCTTTCCCAGGGGATCTTCCTGACCCAGGGATGGAACCCATGTCTCCTGCATTGGCAGGTGGATTCTTGGCTACTGAGCCACCAGAGAAGCCCCAAGGGGAGGGTAGCAGGTGGAAACTGCAGAAGGGGAAATTCTGTCAGGCCTCAGTCATCGTCCTGGGACAAGGACTGATGTGTACCTAGCCTTTCCGAGTGATGACACAAGGAGCAGTCATGAGGAAGTGAAGACAACGAGATAGGAAACAGAGCCCAGAGAAGGCGCTTTGTCACCATCACTGCTGTGGACAAGGGGAGCTTGCATTTACCAGGATCCTTGAAAAGTGCACAGACTGTTTCCCAGAATCGTCTGCCTTTCCCCAGGTGCCTCAACAGTGGACTGTTGCCACTGGGGTGTTAACACTGCACTCCTGGGTGCATGGGAGGAGCAGACTCCTGCTGCATCAGATGCGGCAGAAAGCAAAAAGATGTGCAGCTCACACTTGAGGCGAGAGGCTGTCAGTGCAAGGTGAATCTCGTGCGGGAGCCAAGAGGCTTCTGGGTGAAAAGTAAACAGACATGAGGTGCATGCTGGAGGCGAGACACATCGGCTCCAGACCAATTGAGCCCGCACACACCCGTCTGCTGCAGCTGGAGCTGGAGTCAGCAGTGACCGAGGGGGATGTGACACGGGTGGATAGACGCACCCAGTGCGGAAAGACTATTGCAGGGCTTCCCTGGGGTAAAGAATCCACCTGCCAATGCAGGAGACACAGGTTCAATCCCTAATCCAGGAAGATCCCTCATGTTGTGTGCTGTGGGGCAGCTGAGCCCGTGCACCACAACTACTGAAGCCCTCACACCCTAGAACCCGTGATCCGCAAGAAGAGAAGCCTCTACAATGAGAAGCCTGCGCAGCGCAACGAAGAGTAGCCCCCACTTGCCGCAACCAGAGAAAAGCCTGAGCAGCAATGAAGATCCAGCACAGCTAAAAATAAATAAACAAATGAAAATTTTTTTTTTTATAAAAAAGAAGACTACTGCAATAATCCAATTGAAATAGGATGGTATCTTAGATTGGGGAGGTGGGAGTCAGGAGAAATGGTGTCTGTACATTATGTAGAGCCCCGAGGGTTTGCTGAAGTTTGAACCAGAAACATACAGGAGAAAGAAATATCAGGGATGACTCCAAATGCTTGGCAGAGGGGAGATCGGGGAAGCTGTAAGAGGAGATGATTTGGAGGAGAAACGAAGTGTTCTGTTTGGATATGTTACATTTGAGATGTCTGTTAACATTTGCATGAAAAGGTTGGGTAGTTTTGGATGTGAGTCAGAAGTTCCAGGGAGAGGTCACGCCTGGAGCTATGAAGTTAAATTGATGACACTGAAGGAGCTTACCTAAAGTAAGGGTGACTAGAAAAGAGATTCGAGGACTCAGCCCTGGAGCATTTCAGTTTACAGGTTGGGGAAATGAGCCTTATAGCCTACTGTTTCCGCCTCCTTCACCTGCCATAGTCTTCCCACCTCCATCCACCCATCCATCCACCCTTTCATCCAGCAGATCTGGATGAAATCTGATTGAGCCTCTGTTATACCAGGTACTGTGTTAGGCTCTGTGGATGCAGTAGAGAAAAAAAAAAAAAAAAAAAAGAGTGCTTTTAACCAGGAGCTTCAGTGACAGAGTTGGGAGAGACAGATAATAATAAGTCAGACAACAAGAGGAGGCCACGGCAACCCACTCCAGTATTCTTGCCTGGAAATCCCATGGACAGAAGAGCCTGGTGGGCTACAGTTCATAGGATCTCACAGAGTCAGACATGACTGAAGCGACTTAGCATGCATGTACAAGCCAATAAGTAAACAAGATAGCCTCCCCAAGGCTTCAATCCAGATGAGTTCTGGTAACTTAATCATGAAGGATTTAAGTGTTTATGAAAGAACAGCTATGGAATCATGCCAGGGAAAATGTCTCTGCCTGACTGGAGACGTTTAAGCCATGACTGAGCAGCCAGGGGACCTGGAACAGGAGGCTTTAGCTTCCTGACCTGTCATGCTGGGGGTGGGATGGAGTGGAGGGGGTGAACACCGAGTCAGTCAATCCACAATGACAGATGACTCGTGCGGTAGGGGAAGAATGGGATGATGGGAGTGACTGGGGTCCTTTAGAGAGGAGAGTCAAGGATGTCCTCTTTAAGGAAGCATTCAGGTAGAAACTTCAGCATCCATTCCATTACAAGTGATCAATTTAAAGTGTATCTCCTTTCTGCTAGTGACTGAGAGCTGAGCATCTCTCCTGGATACCCGCCTCTTCAAATCCTCTCGGCCACATCTAATTTTTATTCCATCCATTGCTACAGTGGCCCTGCTCTGCAGTCTCTGACCAGTTTCAGGTACAGGTGTGGGTAAGACCTGACCGTTCTGTGTCCCAGGCCCCCACCATGTACTGTCTACCCTCTATCCAGATCCTCTCTGAGGCTGTCACAACTTAGACTAGGGGACCCCAGGGAATGCCCATGCTGGAGTGACCTGGAAATACCGGGAGGGAGAGTTCACTCCTTAGGTGAACCCTTGACCAATGTGGTGTGGAAGCCATGGAAAGATGCTTTTCCTGTTTCCCCCTTTGCCTGAGACATATTTCATATGGTTTCTCAGGGATCCCATGGAACATAGCGTCTGGTCACTTGTAGCGGTGGACGAGCCCATGTGTGCCTGTGTGCGTGCTGAGATGCTTCAGTCATGTCCAGCTGTTTGCAGTCCTGTGGACTGTAACCCACCAGGCTCCTCTGTCCTGGGGATTCTCCAGGCAAGAGTACTGGAGTGGGTTGCCATGCCCTCCTCCAGGGTATCTTCCCGACCCAGGGATCAAACCTGCATCTCTTCTGTCTCCCGCATTGGCAGGCGGGTTCTTCACCACTAGCGCCACCTGGGAAGCCCAGATGAACTGCTCATCATCTCCTCCTGAGAATGGAAATTTTGGCCTATTTTGCTCCAAGCTATCTGACTCATGACCTGCCCTGCCCAGCACAGTCATGAGTTAGATCAAGCTGAAGTATAGCAAAAAACCCTTTCTCTCCCATCCATGTGACCCCACTCAGGGGACCCCATATCTCCCAGACTCCCTCCCATGGTGACACCCACCTGCCCTGTCCTTTTCAGAACTTGACTACCGTCTGCATATGTTGAAGTCTTACTGGGGTCACGGCATCAATTCTCACTTGCTCCCCTCTCTCCTGCCTCACCCCTTCCACTCCACTCCCACCGAACAGCAGGAGTAGTTTTGTTAACATAGACACTTCCAGGGGACTCACCTGGTAGTCCAGTGGTTAGGACTTGGTGCTTTCACTGCCTGGGCCCAGATTTGATCCCTGGTGGAGGAACTAAGATCCCACAAGTCATGTGGCACAGCCAAAAGTAAAGAAATTTCATTACCCTACACTGTTGAAAACACTTCAGTGGCTCCCAGTTGCTTTCAAAATAAAGTCACCCTCCCTAATGGAATGTAATGGACATGACACTCTTTGGTACCCAGAAGTTGATCTCCCAGAAAACCACATCCTTGAGAAAACCTTTGGGAGTGGCAGCACCACTAAGCAGTCCTTCGTGGGAGCTGCTGGTGGGAAAAAAGCTTCCTTGTTTCTGTGGGGATGTGAGACCCTGGGGTGGGAGAAACCAAGTAGCTGCACTTATATCCAGAGGAAAGTGAGCATGGTTATCATAATAGAATGGTTATCATAATAGACGGGACCAGTGGAATTATCCAGATGATTGCCCTGCTGAGGCTGATGTAGCTGATTGATCATAAATAGATGAGTGGCCCACCCACTAAATTCCTACTTGATTTGTATATCTGAAAAAAGCCTTCAAGTCTGGTCAGCAGATCTCTGACTTTAGCCCACTTGGCTCTACTGATCAGGGAGTGAGTTAAAGTGGATCAAGTAATAAATGGAGGTGGGGTTTTTTTTGTTTTCTTCCCCCCCCCCGCCCCATTATGGTCAATGTTTCTTTTGTTTTTACTTAAAAAAAAAAATGGGTCATACTATGAAATTTTGCACCTGGCTTTTTTCTCTTGAAGCACCTTCCACATCAGCATATAACATATATCCATTAAAAAAAAACTACATTCATTGCTTTACATGGATCCTAGGGGGTGGATCTAACTTCCTTAGTGGTCCATTGGTTAAGACTATGTTCTCCTAATGCAGGGGCCCAGGGGTTCAACCCCTGGTCAGGAAACTAGATTCCACATGTCACAACTAAGAGTTCACATGACACAATAAGAAATAAAAAGATTCCATATACTACAACTAAAAGGTCCTATATGCCACAATGAGATCAAAGATGCTATGTGCCCTGACTAAGACCCAGAGCAGCCAAATAAATAAATATTTTAAAGTGGATCCTATTAATATTATATGTATATATCAGAGTTTAGTCAGCCACCTCCCTACTGACAGACATGTCAATGACTCAGTTCTGTTATTTTGGCATAGGATGCTGCATATGGACATCCTTCTCCAGGTAATAAATTGAGTTTGACTAAACTGACTTCCAAACAGTCCCCATGGATCTCCAAAGCTTTCTGTTTCCCTGCCCCTGCATCTGTAGCTGCAACAGGTATCGCCAGCCGTTGGCAGAACTACTCTATTGGCTCCTGGATTGGCAGAGTAAGGGATTTGATGAGGACAGAAGTCAAATGGAGATCCCGCCTCACTAAAGTGATAAGCTAAAAGCAATATTGCACCCCCTGGGGACTGGAGAGATTAATGGTGTCATCAAGGCCTTTCAAGAGGCTGGGTGGTGATTTTATCACATCCTGCTCTCAGTGTGGCCAGTGGAGAAGGCAGATGGGTGTCAGAGAATGACAGTGGGTTACTGTAAACGTAATTATGTGGTGACTCCACGTAACAGGTCCAATTGCAGCTGTTATTTCAGATGTGGAGTCGTTGCCAGGGAAAATAAATACAGTCCCTGACACCTGGGATAGAGTTATTGATCTAGCAAATGTCATCTTCTGTATTGCAAGAAGCAGAAAAAAAAATCAGAAATCCTGCTTTTATTTGTCACAGTTATAGGCACACCTTTGCCATCTCGCCTCGGGACTTCATTATCTCTTTTGACGGTTCTTCAGTTCTCAGACTTTGAACACTTCATCGTCACATGATACAGTGTTCTATGTTGATGACATTATGAGCTAGGGCCTGGAGAGTGGAAAGGAGCAGATACCAGAGGTGTAAGACAAATGCCATGAAAATACAAAGGCCTGACATCTCAGGAAAGGTTTGGGATCCGGTGTTCTGAGTGTGTCACGATTTTCCCTCCAGAGTAAAGCACAGTTTACCTGACATCTCCTACCACAAAGGAGGGGCCCCCAGAAGCCCTGGAAACAGGAGCAACAATTCCTAAAAGGAGCAGAGAGCAGAGGGGATGCTGGACGTGCCAAACCCAGGGGAGCCTAGTCCACCCAGCCATCTCTGTTAGCCTGGCGTGCCTTGCATCCCAGGGACCGTGACCCTTATTCTAGTGTCAGGTCACGGCTGTCACGTCAGCCACTGGATTCTGAGTAGGGCCCTGGTCCCCTTCTGCAGCCTGGCACCCCCATTTTAGACATCTGCACTGTACCCTACACTTCTTCTTCATGGGGATTCCCAAGTGGTGCAGTGGGAAAGAATCTGCCTGCCAAAGCAAGAGACGAAAGAGATGCAGGGTTCAATCCCTGGGTCAGGAAGATCCCCTGGAAGAGGAAATGTCAACCCACTCCGGTGTTCTTGCCTGGGAAATCCCAGGGACGGAGGTGCCTGGTGGTCTACAGCCTATGGGCTCGCAGGGTCGGACACTACTGAGCGTGACATGACGCAACTGCACTTTTACTGCGTGGTAGTCATCACAGATGTAAGCAGACATTTATCTATTGTATGGTGATGATTTAGTGCCTTTCCCTCACGAGGTTAGACTTCCAGGGAGGCAAAGCCCATGTCTGTCCTATCTCACTGTGCCTCCTGCCCCTCACGCAGCGCTGGACGCACGACAGATGCTCAATCAACGTTGGGAGGATGAATGGCCAGAGAGGAATCTCCGTGAAAGCCCTGGGCGCAGAGGTGGGCAGAAGGCAGCAGAACGCAAGCTATACTGGCCGTGCTCCCTGACCCGAGGCTCGCCTCCACCCCAGCGCTTCCCGCCAGCCTGGCGGCAGTGGTCATCATGCCCCTGGGCAGGCAGTGGGTGCCAGTCAGCTGTGAGGCAACTCAGAACCAGAGGCTCCCTCTGATTGTGAGAAAAACAAATGAGATCACCTTCAGGGGTGGAGATTCATCCTGAGATTCTCGGAAATCCCAAGGAAGCGTGGGAAATCAGCTACATGAGATTCCGACATGTGTGACCACAGGGGTGAACCTGGAAGACATGACAGCAAGTGAAAGAAGCCAGATCAAGGAAACAGAAACAAAACCGTGTGTGATTCCACTTATGTGAGGTACCCGGGGCCGTCAAACTCATGGAGACGAGAAGTAGAATGGTGGTTTCCTGGGGCTGAGGGGAGGAGGGATGAGGAATTAGGATGTAAGGGGTGCAAAGTTTCACTTGGGAAGATGAAAAGGTTCTGGAGATGGATGGTGGAGATGGCTGAACAACAGTGTGAGTGAACGTAATGCCACTGAACCGTATGCTGAAAAATTGTTAAAGTCAATTTTTGTTTGTTGTTTTGGCCACACCTTGTGGCCTGTGGGACCTTAGTTTCCCAACCAGGGGTTGAACCCATGTTTCCTGTAGTTGGAAGTGCACGGGACCACCAGGTAAGTCCCAGAGTGAATTTCCTGTTATGTATATTTTACCACAATTTAAAAATTATGTTAAACAAACTCAATCAATGAATCTGCTTACCTGAATGTGTTTCTGCAGAAATTTGGAAAATGCTGGTAAGAGGAAAGCCATGTCATGAGCCTTAAAAACACTAAAAGTCATTAAGATCCGTGAAAATGGCTATAATACATTTTTTTTCTTTTTTTAAAAATTTATTTATTTTAATTGGAGGCTAATTACTTTACAATATCGTAGTGGTTTTTGCCATACATTGACATGAATCAGCCATGGGTGTACATGTGTTCCCCTTCCTGAACCCCCTCCCACCTCCCTCCCCATCCCACCCTTCAGGGTCGTTCCAGTGCACCAGCCCTGAGTGCCCTGTCTCATGCATCAAACCTGAACTGGCGATCTATTTCACATATGGTAATATACATGTTTCAATGCTATTCTCACAAACCATCCCACCCTCGCCTTCTCGCACAGAGTCCAAAAGTCTGTTCTTTATATCTATGTCTCTTTTCTTGTCTCACATATAGGGTCATCGTTACCATCTTTCTAAATTCCATGTATATGCGTTAATATACTGTATTGGTGTTTTTCTTTCTGACTTACTTCACTCTGTATAACAGGCTCCAGTTTCATCCACCTCATTAGAACTGATTAAAAATGAATTATTTTTAATAGTTGAGTAATATTCACTGTAAGACATTTTAATGATGGAAAGCATTGTCAAAAGACATATGCTAATTTTTGTTAAAGCTTTGCTTTAACTAGTGCTAGCAACTTAGCCAAGTTCCCAAATGTTAGAAAAATTGTTTTTTCTTTTTTTTTTTAGGGTTATGGCAAAGAGTTTCAAGCCAAGGATGTCATCAAGGAGTACTTCAAATGCAAGAAATGATCAAATTTAAAAAACGGAGCTCTTGTTCCTCAAAAATAAAATTAAAATATGTTAAACAGTTTAAGAATGGTATCACATACAGTAATTCAGTCAAGAGCTTTTTATAAGATTTCAAAAGCTTTCAAAAGATTTCAAATATGTCATATTCTTATAAATTGCAGCTCCATTGCATGTTCAGTTAGATATCTTTTCTTGATAAACATGGAAAAACTGAAACAACACCACCACTCTGGGCCCCAGAGATTGCAATCAGGCCACTTGGAGCCCGGGGGCACCCAGTCTGTGCCATTCAACAGAGAATCTGAGGGTGGTTTTTTTTGGCCTCTCTTCCCTGGTAGCTCAGACGGTAAAGAATCCGGCTGCCAGTGCAGGAGACCTGCATTCGATCCCTAGGTTGGGAAGATTCCCTGGAGAAGGGAATGTCTACCCACTCCTGTATTCTTATCTGGAGAACTCCTTGGACAGAGGAGCCTGGCGGGCGACCGTCCATGAGGTGACAAAGAGTTGGACACGACTGAGCGACTAACACATATCAAATATTAGGAATTTGTGTTGGATACCAAGTCATCTCAGACCACAGGCCCTGATCACTTTCCAGGAGTCACAAGTTGTATTAACTGCATGTAGAAATTACTGTTTCAGGACTGCTTTCCTCAAAAGCAGTGTGATGTTTGACATGGGTGTGATATTTGACGTGGGTGACAAAATCCAGTGAGGGAACAAATAGACTTTTTAACAAATGATGCTGGGATGACTGGGTAGCCAGCCACACACAGGAAAATGAAATTTGAGTCCTACCTCACACCCTAGGTAAAAACTAATTCAAAATGAATCAGAGACCTAAATGAAATAGCCAAAACTGTAAAACTCTTGTGAAGAATACAAAGGGGTAAATGTTCATGGCTTTGAGTTGGACAAAGCCTTTTTAGATATGACATCAAAAACTCAAACTAGAAAACATAGATAAGTTAGACTTCATCAAAAGTTAACACCTTTGTGCTTCAAAGATTATCATCGAGAAAGTGAAAAGACAACCCACAGAATGGGAGAAAATCTTCGGAATTATATCTGTAATAAGCGACTTGTAGCCGGAATATACAAAGAATTCTTACAAGTCAGTATACAAAAAACTCTTACAACTCTTACAAAAACAGACAATCCAATTTTAAAATGAGTAAGGTATCTAAGGAGATATTTTTCCAAAGAAGATATACAAATAGTTAATAAGCACATGAAAAGATGCTCAACATCAGTAGACATTAGGAAGATGCAAGTCAAAACCACAAAGAGGAATACATTTAATGCCATGGAATTATACATTTACAAACAGTTAAAAAGATAAATGTCATATATATTTTATCACAATAACATAAACACAATGAGATACTACTTCATACCTACTAGAATAGCTGTTATATATATGACAGATCATAACAAGTGCTGGCAAGGATGTAAAAAATTGGGATCCTCATACATTGTTTTTGTTTTAATTTTTATTGGAATGTAGTTGATTTGGGCTTTCCTGATGGCTCAGTGGTAAAGAATCCACCTGCCAATGCAGGAGATACACAGGTTCAATCCCTGGGTCCGGAAGATCCCCTGGAGAAGGAAATGGGAATCCACTCCAGTATTCTTGCCTGGGAAATTCCATGAACAGAGGAGCCTGGGTGGGCTACATACAGTCCATGGGGTTGAAAACTTAGTGACTCAGCAACAACAAACAAAAGTAGATTAATGATTACCTAGGACTGGGTGGACAGTGGGAATGGGGGAAGGGAAGGATTGCTGATGGCTAAGAGCTCTTCTATGGGGAGATGAAAATATTCCACAATTTGTTCTGGTGATATTTGAGCCACTCTGTGAATATAATAAAAACCTTTGAATTGTACACTTCAAGAGGGTCCTTTTATGGTGTGTGAACTATATCTCAGTAAATCTGTTTTGAGGGCTTCCCGAGTGGCTCAGATGGTAAGGAATCTGCCCGCAATGCAGAAAACCTGGGTTTAATCCCTGGATCTGGAAGATCCCCTGAAGAAAGGAAAGGCTACCTACTCCAGTATTTTGAAAATGTTGGTGGGAGTCAGAGGGCTGTGGCCACAGGAAGGGTTGAGAAACACACAGTCTCTTCTTCCATTCTCAGGACAAATGTCTATTCTTTGTCTCCCTTTCTGTCCTGCCTCTTGGGAACCTCATCGAGTTATTGCTACATCTCGCCAACCTTTTGGAGGATATTGGGGCTGCCCATGGGAACCACTGTGAACACTATGCTGAAAGGGACTTCCTGGGAATGCCTTGGCCATCTAAACTGCAGAGTGAAGCTGGGTCTCAGCTGATTCTGCTGACGCTGTTGGAGCCGGTCCTCGGGTGAGTTGACACCTTAGCCCTGCTGCTGACTTGCTCTGTCATCCAGTAAGTCCCCGACCGACCTGATCAGTGCCAAGTGGGAACCGGGGTCAAATGAGCCTGAGGGATTCTTCTTGCTGTGGGCTTTTTTTTTTGCAAAACGACAGTAACTTAATATTTGTACAGCCTTTTTTACACACGGATATTATCTTAGCTGACGCTGTGGAATAGATATGATCCCAGTGCAGACGTGAAAACGGGGCCTCGGTGAGCCGAGTGACCTTCCCAGAGCCGTCCGGCTGGCACGGTGGTGCTGGGCCCCAGGCCCGGCCCTTTGGCTTTGCTGACTCCAAATCCTGCGTTCATTCCTCTCCATGGGACTCCCTTGTGACGACATTTCTTTCTATTTCTAAAATGCCTACGACAAGAAAACAACTTTCACATTGCTCCCGACTCCTGCATTTCCCTCAGCGCCTGGAGACAGCCCCTCTCTGGCCGTTTGTCTGCTGGTGGCCTCTTGCCCGCTTCAGCGCCACAGAGCATCAGGGCCCTTGGTTTCACCCACCGAACAGGGCCAGGCTGCCTCACCCCGTGACGGTGTGGAGTGTCTGCAGGAAGGGCTGAAGTGGGGTGGAAGGAGAATCTAGTTCCTTTTTTCTTTTTTTTTTTGGAGTATAATTGCTTTATAATGTTGTTAGCTTCTGCCGTACAATGAAGTGAATCAGCTATATATATACATATATCCAGGCTTTCCTGATAGCTCATTTGGTAAAGAATCCACCTGCAATACAGGAGAGCCCAGTTTGATTCCTGGGTTGGGAAGATCCACTGGAAAATGGATAGGCTACCCACTCCAGTATTCTGGCCTGGAGAATTCCATGAACTGTATAGTTCATGGGGATGCAAAGAGTTGGACATGACTGAGGGACTTTCACACGTACATACATACATATATATACACACACACATATATGCAAGCATATGTGATAAGTCACTTCAGTCATGTCCAACGCTTGTGATCCTACGGACGGCAGCCTGCCAAGCCCCTGTGTCCATGGGATTCTCCAGGCAAGAATACTGGAGTGGATGACCATTTCTTCCTCTAGGGGATCTTCCTGACCCAGGGATCAAACCCACACCTTACTTCTACATGCATGGATAGGTAGGTTCTTTACCACTAGCGCCACCTGGGCGGCCTATGTGTGTGCTAAGTCGCTTCAGTCATGTCTGACTCTCTGTAACCCTATGGACTGGAGGCTCATCTGTCCAAGGGATTCTCCAGGCAAGAATACTAGAGTGGGTTGCCATTTCATCCTCCAGGGGATCTTCCCCACCCAGGGATTGAACCCCCGTCTCCCAGGTCTCCTGCATTGGCGGGTTCTTTACCACTAGCGCCACCTGAGAAGCCTGGGAGGCCTATGCACATGCACACAGGGCTTCCCTGGTGGCTCAGATGGTAAAGAAGCCGCCTGCAATGCAGGAGACTTGGGTTCAATCCTTGGGTCAGGAAGATCCCCTGGAGATGGGAATGGCAACTCACTCTAGTATTCTTGTCTGGAGAATCCCATGGAGAGAGGAGTTTAGCAGGCTACAGTCCATGGGATTGCAAAGAGTTGGACATGACTGAGTGACTAACACACACACATACACACAT